TTATATATATATATATTAGAGGAAGTTCTTAAACATCAGAATCACCAGTGGAGCTGATTAAAGATATCTTTGCCTAGCCCCTATTCCCATTCTAATTCAAAATCTTTTGAAGTAGGGCCTGATATTTGTATTTTAAAATGAGCTTTATGAATTTTTTAAAAGGTGTCTTTTTTGGTGCACAGTCAGTGTCATGAACCAAGAAACCAAATTTTAGGTACTTTTTGACATTTCCCTCATTCATCTTTACCCATAATTGCTATTTAACCTAATTTTGGTTCTGTCTTGATTCTGGACAGAGTTACTTCCTGGACACCTTCCTAGTCAGTCTGGATTTGTATAATACTTGATATTTTAGGGCTTCAAATGGATATTATCTATCAGTCCTTCGACCTGGCTCTGCATCACATGTCCTAGTCAACATTTCAGACCAATGGAATGTACAGAACAGTGGTTCTCGAAGTATGTTCTGGAGAGTCCCAGAAAGAGGTCCTGGAGATTGGTTCAGGAAACCTGCAAAGTCCAAACTAATTTTGCAATAAAACAAAAAAATTATTTGCCTTTTACTCTCTCATTTACAGAGGAGTTTTCCAGAGGCTACATGATGTGTGATTTAGTAAGAGACTGAACAAAGAAATGGATTTGAGAATTCAGGTGTTTTCTATGAAGGCAGACATTCAAGAGATTTGGAAAATTGTAAAACAGTGTCACCCCTCCCAATAAAGATTTTTGATAAGGAAAGCATAATTATTTTTTATTAAAAGGTAATTTATATTAACATGTAATGGTTTATTATTATTATTTGAAATGAATATTGAATATTTTTAAGTTCTTAGTTTGAATATCTAAGTAATAAATATATGTGGATGTAAGTCATTTCTTAAAAAAAGCTCTTTGAGTTCCTCAATAATTTATAAGAAAAGGATTCTGAGACCAAAAGGTTGAGATCTGCTGATCTGGAAGGACATCTGCATTTTAAATGAGTTTCTAGGGTATTCTAATACACAGTCAAATTTGAGACATTCATGTCTTTGCTTCTTTTACTGATAGAATATACTTCTTATGGTCGCTACATTTCTAAAAGAAATCCAATAAGACAAAATTTATTTGATTTCTTAGTTTCCAGCACCTATTTCCTTTAGTCCTTTAAGCAAAAGAGAAGGAAGAAGATCATAACCATACTGATCTTATAGCCCCCGTGATTTGTATCTTTTTTTAAAAAAGCAAGAGTGCCCTAGCAGTCATCCCAATTCATTCTTGCGTACTCTTCCAACCATATTAAAATAAAATGTAAAATTATTAAATAACTTAATAATTACTATTTCTACAGTATATGCTTCAACCATGTAGAATGTTTTAAACACTGTACTTTTAAAAGAGGTTGGAACATTTTCAACCTTTCAAGCAGGATGGAACCATTTAAAAGCACAGATATGACACTCCACTGTTGATAGAATAAAGTCCAACCTCCTTAGCATGGCTTTCGAAGCTTTCTATGATCTGGGTTCATCCTATCTTTCCTCTTGTCTATCGTTTCTTCCCTCCACACAGCCTTTGTGCTAGTGCATGATGTGGCCCTGGACCAGCTGCCTCAGAATCACCTGCAATGCTTAAACAATGCAATCTATCCTACATTTACTGAATCAGAATATCTGGTGATCATGCCAGATAACCTGCATTTTAAACAAGCTCCCTCCCTGCTTGCCATGTGATTCTTAATAAATATGAAAGCACCTGCTCTAGCTGTAATTGATAACTCAGTGGTTTTCAAGATTCAATACAAATGCCACCTTCTCTCCACAGTTTGCTTGCATATTCACCAAGATGGAGTCAGTGGCCCGTTTCATAGTGCTTCTTGCTTGAATCTCTGTAATAACACTGATTTCATGCTGCTTTCCATTTTGGCCTGTGGTTTGCATATCCATCCCCCATCCCCAACCAGATTGTCTATCTCTTCTCTATGTTCCCATAGCCCTTAACTGTGTTTATAGTGCTGTGCACATAGTAGGTCCTCAAGTGACACCAGCCATGCTGAACCCTGCCATAGAATCCATCAGAGATTATGGTTTCTGGATATGAGGCAGCAGTATGTAAAAGATAAAGCATAGCATAATTTTTCATGGTAAAGAAACATAACACATCTAACTCCTTTCTCATCCATGAAAAGAACACAACACTGAAGAGTTTGTAACCATTGCTCTGTAGGCTGGTCCTGTAGCCAATACTCAAAGTTGTGATGATTTTCTAGAAGTTTGGTGCAGAAATGTCCAGAAGCCTGCAGAAGCATTGCAGATGTTAGATGTCATCAGAAGAGCTGAAATGCATTGAAGCTGAGAAATTGATTTGCAATAGATACGTGCTTCTGCTTTAAAACACCCTCTAGTGCACTTGCTGCATTTGCATAGAGCTCCAGAGTTGTTTACATAGAATTACGTACACTTTAAAAAACTCCAGAAAAGTTTGTTTCCGTATATCAGGGAGATGAGTCTTTGGCAGATTTGAGTGGATGGTTGTTGCTAGATGTGGGTTGGTGATGGGTATTGTCTGCTTAGCTTCAGTTGCTGTTGAATTCAGAAACACTGGACATGGCCAGTCAGGTGAGTTGTTGGGTGACAGGAAGGTCTGATGATGGTCTGGGCAGCTTGTTAAGAAGGAGGGGGAAAACCAAGAGTAGGTTTGAGTAGAGTAAATACAAATCCACAGAGCAGAGGCATGATTAGTATTTATCTCCTTTAGCTAATATCAGGAACACCCCTCCCAACCACAATGTTTCTGTATCAGCTTCCTTATTCATTCCAGGGTAGGGCACCTGCTGTGTGGGTTGGGTAGCTCCTGACAATTTGCAGACATGTGGCAGTGAGGGTGTGGAGGGCAGGTGTGAGCACCCCAGGAGCAGGCACCTCTGTTTCCCCCACCCACAACTCTGCCTTTGTTTCAGGGCTTTCTGCTTCTGAAGCTTATCCGTGAGGGAGAGTTGAAGGGAACAGTTCAGGCTGCTAAGTGGTTTCGGGCAATGTCATGCTCCATTTGCACAGTGCATAGGAGCCCAGAAACACCCATACTACAGGGTACAGAAGAAGGAGGGAGATGATTCTATTAGGAGGTAGAGGAGAAATGTGCCAATAACACACGAGATGCCCAGAAACACCCGTACTACAGAAGAAGGAGGGAGATGATTCTATTAGGAGGTAGAGGAGAAATGTGCCAATAACACACGAGTTGCCTCTTAAATGAGGAAAAGATAGGGAATGCAGTCAGCAGTAGTGTAATGGCTATGTGTAGAGCCAGAGGGAAGATAGAGTAATCAGGGGGATCGTTTCATAAACTATATAAATGTCTAACCAATGTACTGTATACTTGAAATTAATAACAAAATAAAAGAATGGACATTGTGTAGGGTTAACTCAGAACATAGCTCCTCCACATACTCAGAAGACTGATAGCTGCCCAACTGGCAGCCAATGAAGGCAATACACAAAAATCTTTCGGCAGTGCCTACTCCCAAGGACGTTTTCTGTCACTCCCATGGACGTTATCTGCTCCTGTAACCAAGCAGCATATCTTGCTCCCATCAGTCTGAGAAGGCAGCTGCCTCTCAGTGAAATAACCCCTCCTTCTGCTTGTGTGCATAAAAAACTCTGCTTGCTCTTGGTCAGCGGCTTTATTCCTGCAGCTTCAACCAGCTGTTGCTAAAACTTCCCTACCTTCTCCTACCTTGTGAGTAATAGATGGCATTTCTCACCCCTCTGGTTCTCCTGGTGGTTTCTTCAGAATTCCCAAACCCAGGTGCTCCTGTGTTACACATTGTGACAAAATAAATATATATTTGGTTTTTATCCTTGATTCTTGGCACAGAGCTCCTCAAACTCTTGTAATTTACTGAGTGATAAGGGTGCTAGAGCATCCTTTTTTTTTTTTAATTTAATTTTAAATTTTGTCTTTGACACCAATTCCTGACACAGGACTCCTCAATTCCTTGGAATTTCCTAGATTATAGGAGTGTCTTTGTTCTAATGAGGCAACACTTGGTAGCTCCTGGATAGCTTCAGGATGGGAGCCAGTCACCAGAAAGATAAAGTCATGATTAGAAGCTTGGAACCTTCTGCCTTACCACCCATCCTTCAGGAAGGGAAAAGGGGCTGGAGAGTGAGTTAATAATTAATCATGCTTATATAATGAAGCTTCAGTAAAAATCCCTAAACTACATGGTCCAAAAGCTTAAAGGTTGGTGAACACATTGAGGTACTGAAAAGATGATACCCTGGGAAAGGACATGGAAGCTCTACCTCCTTGCTTTGTGCATGTCTTCCATTTGGCTATTCTCGAGTTGTATGCTTTATAAGAAATGAGTTAATAGTAAGTTAACTCTTTCTCTGGGTTCTGTTAGCAGTTCTAGCAAATTATTGAACCTAAAAAGAGAGTCACTGAAACTCCTAATTTACAGCCAGGTGGTTAGAAGTACATGTGACAACCTGGGACTTGTGATTGGTATCTAAAGTGGGGAAGAAATCTTATGGGACCGAGACCTTAACCTGTGGGGTCTGCACTAACTCTGGGTAGTTAGTGTCAGAATTGAGTTTCATTGTAGGACACCTAGTCAGCGTCCCCTGAGAACTAGAGAATTGCTTGGTGAGTGAAAACCCACACATTTGGTGTCAGAAGTGTTGTGCGTAGAGAACTTTCTTTTTTTTTTTTCTTGCAGTCATGAGCAAGCACATGCCCAGTGGGCCTAGTGGAATTCTCACATGCAGACAGAAATTTCTTTCCTCCCTACACTTGGATCAGAGTGGCTCAGGCACCCCTGAGGAATGGCTACATCTGCCCTTGTGGCAAGTTTCTGAGTCTGCTCCATCAGCTTTTAGCTTCTTTGTGGGAAAGGAGCATGACCGTCCTGATGAAGACTGAGCAGAGAGGAGGGGCTTGACTACCAGAGTTTGCCATGTAAGGGTGAATATGGCTTGAGAATAGAGCTAGTGACTGGCCTGAGATATAGTGAAGGGCAGGGAAGATGCCAGATGTGGCCACTCTAAGCCAGCTGAGCTCTCATTTGTAGGGACCTGCCCGGCATTCGCAGCAGAGTGACCTGGCCACTTATCATCAAATTCTTCAACATGCAGCTAGTTTCATGGCAACAAGCTTTCGCTCAAATCTGAAAACAGCTTTTTTTGCAAATGCTCTGGCATGTGGGCATGTGGAAGCTCAGTTGCAGACTAAAATGTGGATAATAGACTGTTTCCATTGGGAAGGACATTGGAAATCAGGCAGCCTATATTCCTCAACATGCATGGGAAAAAACGCTGCTCTAGACTTAATCACCCCAGAAAAAGTGATTAAATCCATTCGGGCATCTTGTTTGGTATTGCAGGCACATTGGTGTTACATATAAGAGGGGCCTGGAGGTTCTCCCCAGGGGGCTGCTTTGGTGGCAGGGTATGCTTCAGGGGGAGGCTGACACCTAGCTCTGGGAGAGGATGAATAAGATGGCCTAAGGAAAGTTTTGAGAATACAGTTGTTTTATTTCTCAAACTTTCCTTATTCTGTGACACCCACAGGCCCATCCAGGAAGCAACATGATTGCTCAAAGTATCTCTTTGGGGTAGAGAAGATGGTTTTATTTGCTGAACAATGCGTAGAGCCTGAGGAGGGTCTTGGACCCTTTATACTTAAACACACCGGTCAATTCCTTGAGCTCATTCCCAGAATCCATTAGATAGGGAATTTTAGGCATTTGGGAGAAAGCTGAGTGAGCTGGTACGATGATGCAGAGGTTGATGCCTGCCCATCCTTACCCCGTACTCTCATTACTTTTTTCTTTGGTGAAAGAGTCCCTTAACTATGGTGTAGTGAGGGGAAGAAGCAGTGGTAGAATGCATGAAAATAATCCCTCTTCCTAACCATGATCTTTGATTAGCAAAAACATCAGGATTTTAGAACCATAAGGTTCCTATGTATTTAGGTAGCTTGAACGTGGCACTTGAAGTGGAGAGCTTGATTATATAAGTCAACAAGTAGATTGAGTAGATTTTCTTTGAATAGGGATTTAATTCCACATTTATTGGGTACAAGAGGTAGGTAAGCCCACTCTGAGATTCTTGTTTTCTGGCAGGAGGTAGGTCTGAAGCTTGGTCTGAACACATCTCCAGGAGGAGCTTAGAGGACTTGATAAGCTGCCCTGACAAATAGCTTTTAGTCAGGTACAGCCTGGTCTGTTGATGATAAGGAAGATTTTTGCATTTATCTGAAAGAAATTTGCATTTATCATTTATTATATTTCTTTGAAGCTAAGCTGCCATTAATTGTAAGACACAATGTTTTTGTGTATTACTGAGAAAGGAAAGAAAAACTGCCATTTAAACTATCACTGACTATAGTCTTGATATAAGAATTGGTTACAGAGATTCTCCTTGCTTTGAAATTTCTTTCATCAGTTTTGCGGGATGTGAGGATTTTTCCTGCCTTTAGCTGCATTGTTTGGTATATAAACGTATTTACTAAAAATATGTTTTTGCAATAAACTTCTCACCTAAAAGTGTAGCACACCTCTGTGGACTTAAAGTATCTACTTAGTTTTTGCTTTGTACCAAAACATGGAATTGTGGTCATTTCTCCAAAAAATAGATATTTGTTTTAATAATATCGAATTTATGTCCCACGGCTGTTTCTGTGTTTTTTGTGGACATGACGTTTTTCAATTTAAAGCTTATCACAGTGTACTTTATTTGAAGACATTTTGAATGACATTTAAATCCCACATATGTGGTACTGACAAGCTGCAAAACCAGGGTGACCTTCTGTCCACGTTTGCGTGGGAAAGTCCCCATTTACTCTTGTCATGGCATCCTATTTGGGGTGGGTTTGGTAGATAAAATTCTGTGGTCACCTTACACATACCTCAATTGTGGTGGCAGCGTGAACTGTAGTGACCAAGCTGCTGTGACACAGGCAGTGACGACTAGCCACGATTGCTGCTTGGATGGCAGGGATTGCGAGGTGCCACTGAGTTTCAGAGATGCTGAAACGTGAATGTGTCTTAGAATCCTCAAAATAAGAAAGAACTTATGGGATTTGTGTGCCTGAGTGTTCCTTTTTCCAAGCTGCCAACCTTTACCTCTAGTAAGAAATACAAATTCATTCTCATTCAGTCCTTCAAATGGATCAGTTACTATGTGCAAGGATACTACAAAATCTATTATCTTAAGGGACTTATGGTTTAGTGAGGAAGACAGATAAATGAATGATTAACAAGCAGTGCTGTAAGTGCAATTTGGAGGTTATTATCCCTGCCCTAAGTGTTTATAGTGCAGTGCACTCTTTCTCGGCCATTTAAAAATTCATGTTTCTTTTTGTTAAATGTTAAAATCTCCTCCTCCTAAAGATTCAGAAAATGGCACCTTCTTCCCCATTTTTCCTCTTTCCTCCTTCCCCTTCTCCTTCCTCCTTGCACTCTTCTTTCATCTTCTCAGAACAAATAATTCTGCTTAAAGTAAGGTAGTTTAAAGAAGAACATAGATTCTTTAGTATTGTCCTAAATGTCTAATATTGACACAAAATGTCTACAAATGTCCTAGAGGTGTTCAGAAGGCAGGAAGGGCTCTCAGAGAGGGAGGCATTTGATCTGAGTTTTGAAAATGTGTGTGTGTGTGTGTGTGTGTGTGTGTGTGTGTGTGTGTGTTGGTATGCAATTAAAAGTTTCCTATCAATCCAACTTTATAGATGATTATTATTATTTGTTTCTTGTGTATTTTTTCTGGAGTTTCTTTATGTATTTACTAGTAAATACAAATATAAATTGTTATTTAGCTCCCATCTTCTGTTGCAGAAATGTTGCAAAAATCAGACCGGGGAGAAACCAAGCACCACTCGGAGAGTTGGGGAACTCAGGTTTATTACATTGGTGGTCCCAGAGGAGCTAGCACCTTTGTGATTACACTGGGCCCATCTAGATAATCCAGAAAAAACTCTGTCTTAAGGTTTGCTGATTAGCTACCTTAATTCCTCTTTGCCATGTTACCTAACATATTCAGAGGTTCTAGGGATTATGACCTGGACATCTTTGTGGGGAACAGCATGATCCTCCCTATCACACCCACTACCAGTGAAATAGTAAAAAACAGGCACTTCACCATTACTGGAAAATTACTGCAAGGACTATGTAGAGTAATTTAGAAATAGCTCTCAAGATTTAAAATGCATATAAACCTTCACAATATATACATATATCAAATCATTATGTTGTACACTTTAAACTTACACAGTGCTAAATGTCAATCCTATCTCAATAAAACTGGGGGAATTTTAATAAAATTTTTTAAAATGAATAAACACATGCACATAACCTTCAATCCAGCATTTTCACTTTGAGATCTATTCTACAGATTTACTTGCATATAGATGAAATGATGGATGTCCATGACTTATTGTCACAATGTTTTTGTAACAGAAGATTGGAAATAACTCAAATGTTTATTAGTAGGAAACTGATTGACTTAATGATGGTACATTTATATAAAAGATACTATGCAGAAACTTAAAAAGATAATCTTCAAGACGATTAAGTTAGGAAGCAAAAAATGGAGGGTGGAAGAATAAAGTGTACAACATATTAACTTTTTTGTAGACTTTCTATTTGTTCCATTAGTTTATTTATGTACCCAAACACCATTTGAATTACTGAGAGTTTATGTTTTAATGGATAGGGATAGTCACTCCTCTTTGCTCCTTCTTTCCCCAGAGTTTTCCTAGCTATTCTAATTTTTTTCTCATATGAACTTTAGAATTAGATTGTTTAGTCAAAAAAAGAAAATCATGTTACTTTTACAAATTAATGCTTTTTTATTTGTTCAATAAAATATAGCTTCTTTGGTATATTCCTTGTAGTGTTAAAATTTTATTTATATGTTTTGTCCATTTTATTAAGTTTATTTCACTTACTTTATCTATTTTGCTGATATTGAAAATGGAGTCTTTCCTTCCATTATACTCTAACTTATAATTGTACATATGAAAGCTATTGATTTTTATATATTAATTTGGTACCTCTTTATGTTACCAATTTCTCATTGTTTCTAGTAGTTTTACAGTCATTTTTATTGTGTTTTTAAAATATACCATTGCAGAATAATCAGACTGTTGCAGAATACTGTTGCAGAATAATCAGACTGGTGAGAATCCAAGCACCACTTGGAAAGTTGGAGAACTCAGGTTTATTATGCCGGCGATCCCTGAAGATCTGGGACCGGAGCTAAGGGGTAACTTTGTTTTTATAGGGCTTATCCATGCAGTTACAGATGGCTGGGCCAATTGGTTAATTTGTCCTCAGGCGGTTACGGAACATGGGAGTTGCTATGGGTTACAGAGAGCGAGAGTTGCTATGGGTTACGGAGCGTGGGAGTTGCTATGGGTTACAGAGCTGGAGATTTTCAGATAGGAACTTAGGTAACACCTCTGTTATCTAGACAGAACAAGTAAAGAGGAGGATGAGTCTTTAGTTAATCTCGAGCTCACCCTGCCCTTTGGCCTATGTGGCAAACATGTCTACAGACACAGGACAAAGAGCTGATTTATAAGGTTAGCCATTTAAGTGAAAAATTCCTCTTCACTATCATCTGGGAATGTTTTAGGTAAATTACACATCCATAAAAAATTACTCCTTTAATCTGGATTTTCCAATTTATTTGTGTAGAGTTGAGCAAAATAGACTATTATGATTCTTTTAATTTTTCATTATGTGTGGTGGTTTCTCACATTTTTCTTTTTATGTATATTAGTGCTTTACCTTTTGATTAACTAGGTTAGCTAGTAGTTTATTTTTGTAAAGATATATCTTTTGCATTATTCGTTAGTTTTATTTTTCTAACTCATTAATTTCTAATTTATTAATTCTTTTCTTCAACTTGCCTTTGGTTTATTTTGTTGTTCCTCTCCTGACTCTCTTATGTTCTTTTCCTAACTTTCCTAACTCACTTATTAATTCCTTTGTTTTTATCCTTCCCAGTTTACTCAAATACTCTCCTGAAAGTTGTGACTTACACACTAAGTATCAAATCCAATGGCTTCTCTTCCATCTGCATCATCCTGGAGATCTCTTGGTTTTTGACATCGTTGGCCTTTGTTGAGAACTGTTCTTTTCTCTCCCAGGACACAGCACACTTCTGATTTTTCAACTTTTCAGATAAGTCTTCCTTTTCCTGAAGATTCTTCCTTGTACAATTACTGTGAGTGGGTTTTTAAAAGTCCCACCAACCCCCTTGCTTTAAGCCCTCTGTCTCTGCAATCTTGTATTCTCTTATCCTTCTGGTCTCTTTCTCTACAGATAACTCTACAGTGTAACTATATCTTACACTAGAAATAACTTTATCGTCTCAGCTTCAGATTTATGCTTTGAACTGTTTTTAGAAACCTCTGAGTCAACTAAGAATAAAAACTTAACATTTGAAACTGAACCGTTCCCCTTTCATTCTCTTCCAATCTCACTCACACCTTGACTTCCATATCTCAGCAGCATCACCATTTTTTGAATAGCTAAACCTTGACCACTCTGAGTTATATTTTATTTCTCCTTTTTCACTTCCAATATTCAATCTTGTCAGTCCTGTCTCCTTTGTGGGTTCCCTTTAGGCTCCTTTCTCTCTGTTAATAACTTGATTCCGGCCAGTGTGGTAGTTTTCTATTAGTTTCTAGTGTTGTGGTTTTCTATTAGTTTCTATTAGTTTTCTATCTCAAACTTCCCCCTTCGGTCAACCTATCTCAAATAACTTCAGAGCTCTGACCATTCCCTCCTTCCAAAAGGTATGGGATTTTGAAATCATTCAAAAGTGAAGGCTTGGTTCCTCATCTCCCCTCCCCTCCGAGCCTTGTTCTGCACATACACTATATGCTTATGCACATTGCTTTCTAGATTTTGTGCATTTTATTATCTTCAAGCTTTTGCTCATACTGTATCTTTCATGGGTAACTTTTATTCTCTTCTTCTTTACTACTAAAATTTTATTTATTCTTCAAATTCCATCTTATGTACAACTTCCTCTGTGAAGACTTTCCTGTTGCCCCTGAATTGAAGGTGGCTCTTCCTTCACTTCATCCCTAGTGGACTCTCTATTGTAACTTTTCTAAACTGCAACATGAGAGAGGAAAAAAACTTTATTTTTAAGTCACCGTAATTTGAGGTCTCTTTGTTACAGCAGTTTAGCCTTTCAAATACAAGGTGGAACACACATAGTGGGGAGGGAATGCCATTAACATCTATAGAGGGAGGTTCATTCATTGATCTCAGGGGATGCTAATCAGCTCCATGTGCCAAACTGATGAAGACCTAGGGGTGATACCTTCGTCCTGAATTAGTTTAGGTTGCGCTTTGGTGGTCTGAGCCTTTGCAGTGGGGAGAGATAGAGGCTGAATGGCTATGGCAGGGGTCCAACTCAGAGTGCAGAAGCTCCTGACTTGATGGCCACATGACCTCTAGTGAGACTAAGCCCTGAGCTCAGCTTAGAACAATAGGCAAAGAAGCCACACTTCACCCAAGGATAGAACCAACCTTGAAAAATGAAAGTTAAGGTGAGAAAAGATAGACAAGACGAGATCAGGGGAGCCTGGAGCTTTATGGACTTGAACATAGATACTAATAGGATGGTGAAGGAGTGGACTGCAATGCTAGTCCAGATGTACCTGAGGCAAGAATTCTTGAGAGTGAAATAAGAGAAATACCATCCTTTGCCTGGGGGTTTGAGGGGGCTAGGGTGCCTACACAGCAGATGTAATAATGCCTAAGGACAGAGAGAAACATCTGGAAGTTCAGTCTTAGAAAATATACCAGAATCCTGGTTCCTTCAGGGTCAGGGGTCTATCACACCTAGCATAATGCTACCCTGAACTGATATGGGACCAAGTCTGTGTAGACTGACCAATATTCAACCTGGCATTGGTTGACACTGCATTTGGCTGCTTCTCGAATCTACTTTTGTCTGTTTAGACCTTTTTTGTCTGATCTTTTGAATGCTTGGAATTTCTCCTTCT